GCCTCAGGGCCGGAAAGACCGCGAGGAGTTCTAGATAATTTATGTGTGTCCCGCAGAGCTCTCTGCTCCACACACCCCTGACAGAGCGACCATCCAGGAGCCCCCCCCCCCCCCCCCCCCCAACCTGACAGGCTCGCATCTGTTGTGACCACTTTCCTCACGAGAACCAACCCCAAAGGCACCCCCTGTGCCAAGAGGGAGGGGTGACGCCAACAGCGGAGCGCCGCGACGCACGCTGCAGAGACCGTCACCCTGCGCGCTCTGTGGCGCACTGGAGAGAGACCCAGAGAAGCCACCCAGCGTTGAAAATCTCTCATGTGTAGACGGCCGAGTGGTACCACTGAAATAGCCGACACCATGAGACCCACAAGCCTGAGGCATAACGCAAACCGCACCGAACTGTGTAGGCGGAAGCGCGCCAGGCAGAGCGAGAGCGCGTTCACGCGCGGTGTCGAGAGACGGGCCGTGAATGCCCCTGAGTCCAGATTCAGACCTAGAAAGGTTATTTTCTGGGAGGGGAGTAAAGCTCTTTTCTGCCAGTTTATTCTGAAACCCAGACCACACAAGTGATGGATCACAACCAGCGTGTTTGACGCTGCCTCCTCTCTGGATCGTGCCAGCAGGAGCCAGTCGTCTAAATACGTGGCCAGCCGAATGCCCCTCCCTCTCAGAGGGGCGATCGCTGCCTCCGTACACCTGACAAACACCCTCGGGCTCAGCGAGAGGCCGAATGGGAGCACGGTGTATTCGTAACACACTCCCTGAAAGGCAAACCTCAGAAATTTCCTGTGTGGAGGGTACACGGGAATATGAAAGTATGCGTCCCTCAGGTCGATTTAGGTGAACCAGTCGTTCTGGTGAATCAGACGCAAAAGGGATGAGAGCGTGAGCATTTTGAATCTGTACTTTCTGAGGCATCGGTTCAGGGCCCTCAGATCCAGGATCGGGCGAATCCCGGTCCCTCCCCGTTTCGGGACCAGGAAGTACCTGGAGTAGAAACCGCTCTGAGACCGATCGGGAGGCACAATGCATATCGCTCCCTTCTCCAGCAGGGAGGAGATTTCTCCCTGAAGGATGTGAGCTGACGTCCCCTGGGCGTGGGAGAACACTACGCCGGAGAATCGAGGAGGAACTGAGGCGAATTGGAGCCTGTAACCTCTCAAAATAGTTCTCAGCACCCAACGTGCGCGGGGGCTTTGTGCTTTGACGGCCCAGGCGTACGGGGACGACCCGTGGCTGGCGGGTAAGTCCGCCAGGGGCCGCCCCCGCCTGGTTCCGCTCATGGGTAACATTTTTATTGATTTTTGCTGCGCCCTTGACATTTCGTCTGGATGCGTCAGCGAACGTTTTAATGCTCCTTGAGCGTGACATGTTTGTGAAAAACAATGTGAGTGCTTGTGACGTGTGTTTTGAGCCGGCACAGCCGGCTGCACGTCCTGGCCCCACCCTGGACCGCTCGGGGACTCTGCCGGAGGGGTTCCGTGAGGGGGGGAGAAGGCACCATGGCAACATCGAACAGGAGGAGCTGGCGAACGGGGAACTGCCAGCTGCAGCGTCGGGAGGGAAAGAACTCCGTCAGGCTGCCCTCTTCTTCTTCCTCACCTGCTGACCGCCGGGTCGGGTGGGTTGTCCCGACGGCGGAGCGGCTTGGTTGCCGGATCTCTGAGGCCAAACTGGTCGAAGCGCTGAGCCCGAAGGAGCTGGTTGGACAGCTTGAGGCTTCGGGCGCTTTGGGATCCGGAACTGATGCTGGGCTCTGGCAGCTGCCTGAGGAAGGTTCGGCCAAGCCGGCAGCGCCGGTGAGGGCTTACGGGGAAGGCAGAGATGAAGGGCTTCATCCTCTTTCTTTTTGGCCTCACACCGTTGCTGCATTGATGCCAGGGCAGAGCCAAAAATACCTTCAGGCACGATTGGCATGTCCAAAATGTCCTCCTTCTCTCTATCAGAGAGGTTGGTGAGATTCAGCCATCGTACACGTTCTTGAAGCACCATCATGCCCATAGCTTTAGCCGTAGCCTGGACCGCGCAGTGCTGCACACGCAGGCAGATGTCGGTCAGTACGGTGATTTCCTCCCACACCTCCGGGTCCGGCTTCGTATTCATGTCCTCACAGAGCTCGGCTTGGTACGCCGAGAGCATGGAGGAGACGTTCAAAGCTCGGACCGAGATGGCGGCAGCCTTGTACGCCCTCTCGTTCAGCGCCGACTGGAAGCGGCCCGCCTTCGCAGGGAGAGCGGGAGGCCTGGAGGAAGTTGCCGAGAGCCGTGGGTGCAGGTGTGCTGCAACCAGCGGTTCCATCAGCGGCATGAGAAGCATGCCAGCCTTCTCCATCCCCTCGAAGTCCAGCGAGGAGGCTCCTTGGACAGGAGACCTGGAGCTGAAAGGGTGTTTGTCCCAGGAGGACCTCACTTCTTGGAGAAGCTCCGGGAAGGCGGGAAGGAGAGGCTTTGCCGCCCTTGTGGCCTGAGGCAGCTTCTTTCCCTCGTAGCGGGATCTGACAGCCTCAGTGACCACGGTGGGCCAAGGGATGTTGAGCCTGGTCGCAGCGCGTCGGCAGACTGACTGCATGTCCAGGTGGGCGGCCGGAGAAGCCGCTCCATCCCTGGGAGAGGACGGAAAGCTAGGCATGGAGGCCTGAGCGATGGGGAGAAAGACGTCGTCCTCCTCATCCTCCTCTGAAATGAGGAGTTCCGAGGTGTCCTCGTCGTCTCCGTAGTCCAACTCCAACACGTCCTCGACGGGGTGGCTCGGACCGGCCGGTTCGAGCTGTGAGCCCCAGCTGAGTTCGGCACACGGTTCCGGCTCCGGGAGGACATGTTCGCTGGCGTCCCCAGGCGGTGGCCCAGGGGCCGGCAGGCAAGGGTCCTTCCCCGACAGGCTAGCTTGGCGCGCTAGCCGCCGGCGAAGGCTCTTCAGGGTGAAGCAAGCGCAGCTCTCACATGACCCGGGGACTTCCAATGCCAGCTGGGCGTGTTCCAGCCCGAGGCAGCTCGAGCAGACCTTATGCGGGTCTTTGCTTGAGATTTTGTTCCCACAGGTACAGAGGCGAGCTCCTGCACCGTCGACTCCTCTGGTGGGAGGAGCGGCTTCCATGCTGGCTAACTGGTGTGTTAGCAAGAGAACGAACAGATGTACTGGAGTGTGAAGCTGCTCGTTATGCCCCGAACCTATGGTGAAGGTCAGGACAGGACGGTAAGTTAACGTTCGGCGACGGAGAGAATATTAGCTGGCTCCGTCTGTGAACAGTTGAGTTAACTTACCTTAGAGATAAGCGACCACCGAAGCGAGAAGAGGTGATTGAATGGTGCGTGCGTTGGGACGCTTGCTACTTATAGTAGAAGGTGACGCGTACGTCACGGTCACTGGCCAATCAGGATTGGCGTATTGAGATAAGTGCTTCTGAGGAATCCGCGGAGTGGCGTATCCCATAGTGAGACATCGAAACGAATGTTAAGAAAGAGAACTGTAATATTCACTCAAACAATAAATTAATCTGATTTATTCAAGACATAAATGTAAAACACAATACAAATTATCAAATTAATGAGTAAAGAAATAACCAGAATAAAAAACATTTTTCTGCTGCTCACCATTTTTTTTTTCCATAGATTTTGTGAACACAGCAACAGGTAAACTAAACTGTAAATTAATTTTAAAATACATTTTGAAAAAATGCTTTAAATAACTGAAATGTATTTTTCTGAAATGTTTGTGTTTGTAAAATTTGAGTTAAGTGTTTTGGATACATACGTTTTTTTTTTCTTTTATATGTAAAAATGAATAAAGGAGCAATGCAGTGCATCACCACAGGCTAAACTCTCCCAGAGTTACTACAAGGACCAATTGGTGTGCCACCCCAAAAATATCTTTGGTCCCATCTGGCCACCCTTATCAGAATTTTCTGGAGGTCCCCTGCAATCTAATACTTTAACCACTAGACCACCAAATCTGTTACAACACAAGTTGCCTAACACGCATATCGTGTGCTGGCGATTTTGAGTCTTTGTGCCCAATGCAGAAGTAATTATCCAGAATATCCACTCTGATAAAGGTTTAAATCAATTATCACATTCTCAACTAAAGCATGAAATCAACTGCTCTATTCCCGCAACTCAGAGTAAGTGGGCGTTAGTGGCCTACTTCCAGGGGAGGCAGGTTTCAAATCGAAGACTAAGCTTCATGAGGAGGAGCAAGGTCTGAAGACGCACTTACTTTCTATTGAAGCTTTTCAATTCAGGGTTTTCAAAATAAAAATAAAAATCTGCAGCTGAGACAGGAAAATGCATGAATGGAACCAAAACCGGGTTTGGGGCCTTTTTCATGGGGAAATAATATCACATGGTAAAAAGCTCCAAAAAGTGGATAGTCCATGACATGGCCCCTTTAAGGTGCATCATGTAAGAATTAAGTAAAAATTACATTGTGTGGTCAAAATTGAGTACTGTAGCACATTTTCAAAATACAGGATGATGATGGCAGAAGAGTTGAGTTCCCAGCCTGTAATGGGAGAGTTAAAGGGTCCAAGCCCTGTCTGTCGCAGTCGTGCACCTAACCCACCTTGTCTGCTGGCGGTGATCAGAAGGACCAGTGGCTCCTGGGCCGCCTCACCTCTGTCAGTACACCCCATATCTGCTGTGTGAATGTGTGTGTGCGCGTGTGTGTGTGTGTGTGTGTGTGTGTGTGTGTGTGTTCTTGTACATACTGCATAATGAGGACCATTTTCCCTACAATGTGAGGACATTTTTTTTGGTCCTCACTTTTTTTAGAAGCTTATCAGTTGGTTTTAGAGGTATGGTGTGAATTAAGTTTTAGTTAAAATTAGGAGTGTGTGTGTGTGTGTGTGTGTGTGTGTGTGTGTGTGTGTGTGTGTGTGTGTGTGTGTGTGTGTGTGTGTGTGTGTGTGTGTGTGTGTGTGTGTGTGATTAAATGAATGATGTGTTGTGAATATTCTTTGGGGGTTTAGGACTCTAGAAGTAGCTAGAAACAAAAAAGCTCTGAAATTTAAGGTAATAAATTCTCATTTATTGCTTTAATTTAACAGCCCTTTATAATACATGAAAGAATTATTTATTACATAACAGAAGAATCAAGATATAAATGCTATAAAATATTCAGTAAGCTTTATGCAGAGTGACACATTCGAATCAGCCTTTAAAGTGATCTTAAAGAGTTTAAAAAACATACTTGGTAATAAAAAACAGATGTACTCTGTCATAAAAAACCGAAAAGTAAACAATTTATATAAGGTAAACATTTGATAAAGATTCTATTAAAAGGTGCAGAATCACCTAATGTTCCCTGTGTAGGAAAAAGATCACATTTAAACTTCAACGTTTTTCACTATTTTCTCAACTAAACATTTCTGTTAGGTCAAATGATTCAGTCAGCTGAAACATTCGGGCAATGTCTCCTTTTGTTCTGAACAGTCGAAACAGTTTTTAAAATACTTTTACCTGAAGTGATTACCAAAACTGATCATTTTTATAAAGCTTACCGAATTGCTTAATGAAAAATATTTTCTGTTTGTGTCATGTAAAGTGATGAAACAGCAGGTCGTTTTCAGTCATTTGCACATTTTCAGCTACTATTGAGCTTTATCTTTAATACCTATTTTTCTCTGAAGAGAAGCTAACATTGTGCAATATGTTAGAAAACAGTAATAATAATAATAATAATAATAATAAAAGAATGAATGAGGGGAAATGTCACTTTGTGATTTTGCACCAGTCGGACCGCTTGCCTCACATGGCGTAAGGGTTGGAGCTGGCTTGGCTCCGGGCGTATGGGTTGGTTTCTCGAACCTGAGCGTACACGTTCCTCTGGCCTTGACTCTGACCATAAGGGTTGCTCTGGAGTCGAGGCTGATCAAAAGTGAACATGTCATCCTGGTCGTCGTATAGCTGCTGCAGTAGAGAGAAATTAAAAAAAAGTATTTAAATCAGAGCTTGGTGATGATTAACCCCCACTGAGGCATTTACCCACCGTGTTCCTTCCTGAAGAAATCAAGTTTTGCCGGCTGTTGCTTGGTGTCATCTCCAGGTTGGTGTTGCTCTCCCAGTTGCTGGTGGCCCGAGGAATTCGAGGTGCCCCACCGTTGGCCACTCCAGTATTATTTGACTCTTGGTATGAGCTCGAGTAGCCGTTGTGTACGCTGCTGTCAGCTCGTGGAGCCTTGGCAATAGAGTGGCTCACATAGGGTTTTCCAATATCTTCATTTTTACTCTTGGGGCCTTTCTTCTTCATCCTAAATATAAAGTATGTTCTCAGTAGTTGAAACTTTTTATATAAACATAAATAAAGTCATTAAAAAAATAAAAAATTTGATGAGGAGGTAAAACTTACTTCATTGCCATTACTGGCAGAAGGATGAGGGTGATGAGGAGCAGTCCTCCGAGCACAGAGCCAACGATCACCAACACCAGCAGCCAATCTAACAAACACCAAAGGGACGAAGTTACAAAACATGGTCAACTCAGCTTTAGGATCATCTGACGTGTTTAAAAGGAAAGATTTTGTGAACGGATAAACTGGAGACTGCTTTGATTCTAAACAATTTACTAAAAGGAGCTTAGACTTTAATACAGCTTGGAAAAAAAATGATAGTTTCATCTTTAAAATTAGTTTAAAAACAATTTAACAAGCAATATTGCTTTCTTTTGCTTTGGTTGATATTTCCAGAGTTAAAATATGTCCATAAAAGTTAAACATTTTTAGTGCAATGAAAACATCAAATTCATTCTTCACAACCAGTTTGTTTTTTTACCAAACTGAATGCATTTTTATGTTTTTAAAATGTTGGTGGGCGATGGTGGCAGAGCAGTTAGGTTTTCCGCCCTGTAATCAGAAAGTTGCAGGTCAGAGCCCCGCTAGGTCTGCTGCTGTGTCCTTGGGCAAGATATTCACTCGTCTTGCCAGCTGGTGGTGGTCAGAGGGGTAGGGGGTGCCTCCGTATGGCAGCTTTGCCTCTGTCATTGTGCCCCAGGGTAGCTGTGGCTACAATGTAGCTCTTTACCACCAGGGTGTGTGTGTGTGTGTGTGTGTGTGTGTGTGTGTGTGTGTGTGTGTGTGTGTGTGTGTGTGTGTGTGTGTGTGTGTGTGTACTTGTATTTATAGGTTTATGTGGACAAATTTTAACTTTTAACATGTAGTGTGTGGACATCTTCACATTGTGGGGACATTTGGCTGGTCCATATAATGACAAAATACCCTAAAATGTGATTTTAGAGATATGGTGTGAATAAACGTTTGTTTAGGTTAGGGTTAGGAATAGAACATCATTATTTATGGTTTGGATTGGGGGTCTGGGTTCGGCATAATGCAGTCACAAAAATGACAAAAAATGAATGGAAGTCAACGGAGGGTCCACACAAGCATTTAAATACAAGTGTGTGTGTGTGTGTGTGTGTGTGTGTGTGTGTGTGTGTGTGTGTGTGTGTGTGTGTGTGTGTGTGTGTGTGTGTGTGTGTGTGTGTGTGTGTTGAATGACTGATTCTGTTGTAAAGCATCTTGGGGAGTTCTAGGGCTCCAAAAACCACTGTATCCAATACTGGCCATTTACAGTTTTCTCAGTCGCTTTGGTGCATTTCTCTCAACAGAATTAAACAGTTAGCGCAACCTGTAGTCATTTGGGTGTAACCTAGTGGCAGTTTCATGTTCATTTCATCCAATGGCATATTCTTTTGGACATGAAGCAATCGAGTAAGTACAAATATCTGCAAAATGATCATTTTTGACTTGCTTTTATCATTTCTGTCAAAATGAACTCTACTTGTACAGACTGAACAGTCATTGCTCATATGATTTATAATCTTCACTTATTTTTTTGTGTGTCATTGCACACAAAATTGTTGAACATGTTGTCAAACATTTTGTATATACATTTTCAAAATATCTTTATTGATGTTATATGAAAATGTCCATAAATAACTTTTCTCGGGTGAACCTTATCTTACACTGATGAAAAGGGGTGTTGGGACGCTCTTTATAGGGACATAATCCCAGAGAATGAAAAGAATGAGCCTGGTGACAATCTGATGAAGTATGTAGTAGTTTGGATAACTTCTACCACTCTGCTGGGATCGAGCAGTGGTTTGCAGCACAAACATTACAGGATGCTTGTGGAGTACCTTCCTCCCTACTCTCCTTTCCTAAATCCGATTGAGGAATTTTTCTCTTCCTGGAGGTGGAAGGTATGTGACTGGCATCCACATACACAAATGACCCTGCAGCCATGAATGTAGCTTGTAATGACATCACAGCACAGTCCTGCAGAGGGTGGATTCAGCACTCAGGAAGATATTTTCCTCGGTGCATTGACAGAGCTGACCAGATGCCCGAGCCACCTCAACTGGCTCCTCTTGATGTGGAGGAGCAGCGGGTCTGCACCGAGCCCCTCCCAGATGACCGAGCATCTCACCCTATCTCTAAGGAAGAGACTCTGCGGACAAAACTCACTTCAGCCACTGGTACCTGCAGTCTTGTTCTTTTGGTCGCTACCCAAAGGTCGTGACCATAGGTGAGGGTAGGAATGTAGATTGACCGGTAAATCGGAGCTTTGCCTTCTGGCTCAGCTCTCTCTTCACCACGACAGATTGGTACAACGCCCGCATCACTGCAGATACAGCACCAATCCGCCTGTCCATCTCACGCTCCATCTTTTCCCTCACTCGTGAACAAGACCCTGAGCTCCTCCACTTGGACCTGGAGAAGGCATTCTACACTTTTCCAACTCAAGACCACAGTCTCTGATTTAGAGGAGCTGATTCTTATCCCAGCCGCTTCACACTCTGCTGCAAATTGCTCCAGTGAGAGCCAGAGATCACATTACGATGAAGCCAACATCATCTAGATGTCCATGATTGATCTGCAGCACCGTTTCAGTTTCAACACCACTACAGTATGGTTTACTGAGCCAAATGGAGTTTATATTTGTTGTAAATGTGCTTTTTTTTCAGTTGCACAATGCTGTGAACAGTTGCATACATACAGTATAAAGTAAAGTGCATACTCAGTGTCTTGATTTTTATTTAATCCTAGTTTTCTAAATGCCATGCATGGCATATAATGCTGTCTTGACTTTACATGACATTGGGAAGCACTATCAGAGTTATCTGTCACAATGCAAACATGTTCAAACCTTTTGACTTGATTGTTTAAAGACACTGGTGTCATAAATTTTCATTTTGACAACACAAACACCTTCATTGACATAAACACTTGCATTTGAAGAACAAATGATTCATTTTGATTAAGGGACTTGCTTTTGAAGCATGAGCTACCAATTCTGAGCTACTGAGTTGTTTTTGTGGAACTGACTTTCCATTTTGAGAAAGTGACTCACTTTTGCAGGTTCTACCGTGTTTTGCTGTGTGCACTAATTGTGATGAGAAACACCTTAGCAGTGGTGCAAACTTTAATACTGTTGAGAGAAATGCACCAAAGCGACAGAGAAACTAAAGTCAGTTAAATGTATCACTACATTTTGAGAATTTCACCAAAATCTGTCCAGTAGTCCACAAAAGTACTTCACAAAAACATAAATAAGACAAAAACATTCATAATTTACATACTGTGTAGTTTTAGGAACAAATAAGTGCTGTATACTCACTGTCTTTACAGTCAAAACCAGTATAACCAAATGGACATCTGAAAAACAGAAAAAGGCTCCTTTACAAGTCAGGCAGATAGATAGACAGACAGACAGACAGATAGATAGATAGATAGATAGATAGATAGATAGATAGATAGATAGATAGATAGATAGATAGATAGATAGATAGATAGATAGATAGATAGATAGATAGATAGATAGATAGATAGATAGATAGATAGATAGATAGATAGATAGATAGATAGATGATAGATAGATAGATAGATAGATAGATAGATAGATAGATAGATAGATAGATAGATAGATAGATAGATAGATAGATAGATAGATAGATAGATAGATAGATAGATAGATAGATAGATAGATAGATAGATAGATAGACAGACAGATAGATAGATAGACAGATAGATAGATAGATAGATAGATAGATAGATAGATAGATAGATAGATAGATAGATAGATAGATAGATAGATAGATAGATAGATAGATAGATAGATAGATAGATAGATAGATAGATAGATAGATAGATAGATAGATAGATAGATAGATAGATAGATAGATAGATAGATAGATAGATAGATAGATAGATAGATAGATAGATAGATAGATAGATAGATAGATAGATAGATAGACAGACAGACAGACAGACAGACAGACAGACAGACTTACTTACTTTACACATTCTGAATTTATGTATTTTGTCCCACTGGGGCATTCTGCAGAAGCATAAATAGTATTAGTTCATTTCCAGTAAATTAAAGTTTTCACACACTTTTAGAAAATCAACATTCTCTCACCCAAACAGATTCTGTTACTGAAATCTGTTGGAATGTAGCCGGCAGCACATGAGCAAATGAAAAAGCCATCTTCAGGTGTACATTCTGTTGTTTGTTGGTCACAGGGTTTGGAGTTGCACAGGTTTTCAGCTTTTAAATGAAAAGGGAAAAATGTTTAAGCAAATATCAGTGCAGCAGATATATCACCATACCAACATATGAGTATATATTAACGTCTCAGGAATAAGTGCACATGTTTTGTAGTTTAAAAAAAATCCTACTTGAATTAATAAATATGCCAAAATGATCAGAAATATTGATAAAGTACCAAAGCATTTCATAAAGCCATTTTATGTATTGGATTTCACCAGAACACACAGGAAAAACAACTCACGTGTAAAGGTTGAAGCAATCAGGACACAATCTTTGCAGCTGGGTTTTTCTATTGTGTCTTTAACCTGTTCTTGATTAATGTTTGCATTTGCTTGAAAAAAGATGTCTACTGATGCTTCAACTCCACTCTTTGCTCTAGATGGAGTTTTTAATTCCCTAGGAGCAAAAGGAAAATCACAGTAATGATAAGAATGTTTATTGTAGCATCATAGCCATAGAAAATGAAGAGATGGTTGGTTTTAAATCAGAAAATTAAACATTGTAATCGCTCTTACCGGAGTTCCAGCACTGTTGCGCCAGTGTATCCTACTTTAAAAATCTCGTCCATCTGTGTATTTCGGGGAAAAAGTGTTTTGCTTATTGTATAAGAACTGAATTTTAATACATTTTATTAGGTGCAGTATGTACAACACAAAACCCAATTAAAAGATAAATGATTTCTTACAGCAGAAATAATTTTATCTGAAGCTTTTCCGAAGGCTTCAGATTTTTTATTCTTCATGTCTTCATTGTATGTTATTGCAGTCAGGCCCAGTTTCCCAGGATACACTTTGGCTATATGGAGAAAATATATCAAAAGATAAAATCATACAAACAACAAAACTGTAGCAGTGAAAATGTTTGCTTCCAATGTTCAATGAAAGTCAGAGTTAAAAAGCAATGCAGCAACTGAAACAGCCTATTAAAACATGAATCAAAACGCTGTTAGCTTCACATTACGACAAGTTTATTTCTACGGACACAGTTCCTCTGTTGGGCCGGAGCTTAGAGAAGTGATCAACCAGTATTTGTCACTTACATTAATCATTATGTAAGGAAACCAAAAAGAGGCATTTATGTACTTTTTTCTTTGAACCATGATTGAATCATTAACTCAAACATAAGTTTTTCATAAAATCTCCAAAAAGAAATGTTCAAGGATCCTGACCCTACATTCCGTTGAGTGACCAGCAGGGGGCAATGCTTGGTAATTACAGCTACCTTTAACCTGGATGTGGAGCTCCTGGTCTCCAGTTTTAGGTGTTCAAGAAAACAATAAAATATCCAAACAAGATGTGTGAAAGTAAAAGTCAAAGCACTTCAATCTTTACAATAATAAAATGGACACATTAAGGATTTGAGTCCTTAAAATAATGATCAGGGGCCTCATTTATCAAGCTTGCTTACGCACAAAACGGGGTCAGAAAGCTGCGTAAGCAACTTTCCACGCAAACTTTTGGATTTATGAAAGAAAACTTAGCGGAAGAATGTGCGCAACTTTAAGTTGACTAGGGACCTGGCTTACACACATTTTGGACATGGAGAGCTCCTGCAGTGCTGCTGCTGAGAAGGATAAAATTATGAAATCCTGCAGCATTATCACTTGTACTGCTTCATTTTCACACAGAAAAAGACACCGCACACGCACACACACACACGCGTACACACACATGTGCGCACACTCACACACACGCACGCGCACACACACACACACAGCCTGAAGCGCAGAATACGGAATGCAGAATATCAGCAGGGGGACAGATTGAGACAGAATGTCATGCGTCTGTGACAGTGTCCTGTCACTGTGACCCGATTGATCATGCGCCCTGGCTACAAATGCAGGGGAGATCTCTGTTTTGCTGACTGGTTAGCATGCATAACTTTCACCTGGGAGTCTGGGGATCAAATCCCGAGTGGACCTTTTTTTTTTTATATCCGTCACAGATCTCTCTAAAGAATTCACAACACTGACGGCTTCAGCAACGCTGTGCCACTCTGTGGATTTTCTCTTATTTGTTTTGAAAAAGCACTTCCTTTCATTTCTCCACCTCACCCACAGGTACCTCAATTTCTGCTTCTGTGAAATTGCGCTTCCTTGATTTGCCTTGATCTACGGTCGCCATCATCATTGGTGGAGCGCTGCAACAGCGGGCTTATGTATATGCATGAGATCCATAAGGCAATTTGCATTGACTATTTATGGCAGAAAGTGGGCGTGGTGAGGGCGGGATGTGACTAAAAAGCAGCTGAGAAACATTCTCGTTAGTCTCCGATTTATGAAGTGGAGATTGCGTGCAGCTGTGCGTACTCCATGTTTGATAGATCACAAACCTACTTGGCGTAAGTACTTTTTTTGCTGACCTTAAGTATGGTTTTAGTAAGGATTCTACGCAATGTTTGATAAATGAGACCCCTGTAAGTTGTAGATTAATGTTATCTATGTTAGGTAAATGCAGTAATCCTTTTTTTAAAATAGCTCACAAGTGTTGTACTCTGAATACTAGGGGCATTGTGGGCTAATACTGACTGCTGTGAATGAAAGAAATGCTTGATGGATGGCACGGATGACCGTGCCTCTCTGTAATAAAGTTCCATGATGGTAAAGTAAATGCCCCCTGCTTTTCCTACCAACTACAAACATAACGCTAAAGCATCTACAGTCTAACATCAGGGTCAGTTTCTTATTCCAAAGTGTTCAATGGAAACCAAGTACATACCAGTCTGACAAGTCTGGGTTACACTACTGTAGGAATCACCAGGCAGACACAAACATACAAAGGTGTTGTTGGCACGACCTTCACAGGTGCTTCCCTGGCCACATGGGTTGGAAACACAAGGATCTTAAATGTGAAGAGAAAAGCCACAAACACACAAAACAGTCCAAAGTTTAAATAGTTATTTATACACATTAAAATTAGTTGGCATTTGAATTAAACTACACATTACCTGGAGACTCTGTAGTAGTTGTAGAAGATATGAGTGTAGTTGCTGTAGTTGGAGGTGCCGTTGTTGGAGGTGCCGTAGTTGGAGGCGCCGTAGTTGGAGGTGCCGTTGTTGGAGGTGCCGTAGTTGGAGGTGCCGTAGTTGGAGGTGCCGTAGTTGGAGGTACCGTAGTTGGAGGTGCCGTTGTTGGAGGTGCCGTAGTTGGAGGTGCCGTAGTTGGAGGTGCCGTAGTTGGAGGTGCCGTAGTTGGAGGTGCCGTTGTTGGAGGTGCCGTAGTTGGAGGTGCCGTTGTTGGAGGTGCCGTAGTTGGAGGTGCCGTAGTTGGAGGTGCCGTAGTTGGAGGTGCCGTTGTTGGAGGTGCCGTAGTTGGAGGTGCCGTTGTTGGAGGTGCCGTAGTTGGAGGTGCCGTAGTTGGAGGTGCCGTAGCTGGAGGTGCCGTAGTTGGAGGTGCTTCTGGTTCTGAATCCTGAACTGCTGATGGTGTGGCTGGCATTACTGAAATGGTTGAAAGTAAAACAGGATTATTAAACTCATTAACTGGATTTCTGAAAATAAATTATAAAATACTGGCAATTAAAAAAAGTTGGCAAATAAAAATCATATAATTTCAATAATATTAGATAAAACATACAACCAGCTTGTCCACATTCTGCAAACCTCAGAAAAATAAACTGTGAATACTTACAATTATGTAACGTATTTGTCTTTTATAGAGTTAATAAAAGGAACAAACACAGTAAGATCAGCTCTTCACTTAGGTTTGCTATGGTGGTGCTACTAATGTGGGTGGAGTGGACCATAGCCATCCTTATGACTTGGCCGCTGTCTGTTTTTTTTTCTTTTTGTATAACATTCTATTTTTTATAAGAATTAAACAGTTTAAACCAGATGAATTAGTGATGAAGTGAAAAAGTTATTATGCATTCACGTTTAAATAGAAAACAGGTCAGCAAGTCAATCAATTAATGAAAATCTAATGGGACAATGAAATTTGACATTCTGTACATGAAATGAGTTGTAAAAAGTTTCATTTTAAGTTTTTATGTCACCTGATTACCATGACTCAATAACCTGATGCTCCAAAGGAACACTTTTAGGTTTTGATTCTAAGGTAAAAAACCAGTCGGGGAATTTATGAAATAAAAAAATGAAACACCTTAGTGATTTAATTAGAATTTTTGGCTGGTTTACATGCACACTTTTCTTAAAGTGACAGTGTGTAGTTTCCCTGATGAAAGGGGGCAGTAGATACCTAAATCATTGCAAGCAAGCATTAATTTTGTGTTGAAGTAAGACCTTACCAACAGATGGCCATTAGGGTCAAAAATCCTTGGGAGTGCAACTTCCAGCAAAATAACAAGCACATCAGTCTCCCTTTCATCACTTGCAATAAGTGAAGAGGTAAATGTGTAAAAGAACAATGTTTATTAATGCTGAAAGTTTTGTAACCATTTATTACAAATCAGTAAATACATTTTGTCCTCACGGGCTTCCGTAAAAGGAAACATGGCATCCAATATGGCGTCGCATAGAGACTTAGGGTGTTTCTCAATGGGCGCCTGGTCTTGCAAGGTGATGTCTTGCGAGGCCAGGCGCCTTGCTTACTTCCTTGGTCAATGAAAACGGTTAAATGGAACAGACTTACATCACACGAAATTTGCCCCCAAAGTAGCTGCCACCTTTTGATCCGCCATCCTTTTGAAAAAACCGTGGTGTATTCTGTGTAATTTTTGACCAAGGTTAGGCTACAAGACACCTCTGGTTTTTCTCAATGCCTAGGAACCTTGCCTTGATGACTTGGCCCTGCCCTGGTTGCCTAGGAGATACGTCATCCTGAGCCGCCAAGACGTGTTCCAATATTCATGTTCTACCAAGGTGTGTTCTCCGTTTGTTAGCCATTTAGCTAGCTGAGCAAGGATACACGGGAGGTGTCTTGTAGCCTAGCCTTGGTCAAAAATTTCCCAGAATACACCACGGTTTTTTCAAAAAGATGGCGGATCAAAAGCCGGAAGCTACTTTTCAAATTTCTATTTGTAAATTTCAAGTTTAATTAGTAAGTCAAATAATTTTAAATGTTTTTTTTAGATCCAAAGAAGTTATCTATTGTTGGTTAGTTGCTTAGTAGTTGCAGCTTCGGTGGCTAGCGGGTAGTAACTCACTTAAATATTTAATTTAACAAACATATACACAATAAAAAAGTAAGACTCGTTATATATTTATATTGAAACTTATATGTATAAAATAAAATGTTATCTCACGTGTCACGTGACGTTACAGGACCGCCGTGGAAGCCACAGTCATGTGATGCAAGTCTGTTCCATTTAACCGTTTTCTTTGACCAAGGAAGGACAGTGTCCTCGTAAGCAAGGCACCTGGCCTTGCAAGACATTGCCTCGCAAGGCCAGGTGCCTTGACATTGAGAAACACCCCTCCCGTGTATCTATGCTGAGCTAGCTAAACGGCTAACAAACGGAGAACACACGCTTCGGTAGAACATGAACATTGGAACACGTCCTGGTGGTTCCTGATGACGTATCTCCTAGGCAACCGGGGGGGAGCCAAGACATCAATGCAAGGTTCCTTGGCATTGAGAAACACCCTCAGGCCCACTCCCATGTATCTTAAATCCAGTTTTTATGGTTATATGTTATGAAACCACCACTACTTTTCAACAACTGGGTATCTTTTAATTCATATACAACAACATTTCGATGGATATTTCCAGAGATTGACGGTAAAAACTACACATTATAATAGATATTTAGAGTGATTTAAAAAGACTGACAAGAACCATTCTTCAGCAATGATAAGAAATTTTTACTGGACATTGACTGTCCTTTTAAATTAACAATACCAGGATTACCAGTTAATGGAAAATCCAAAAATGCAACCAGACTAGACATAATTATAGTAACAGTCATTCTAATTTTAAAAATATTTTCATTTGAGTTTTATGTAAAAAAAAATCTATAAGGAAAAATTTGCTAACTAAAAAAAAAAAAAGAAAGAAAAGCTTACCTGCAATGGACATGACAACCAAAAGAGCGGACAACAGTGTAAATGTTTTGGCCATTGTTAAAAGACAGAAAAACAACAAGCTGAGAGGATTATCTGCAGATGATACGTTTGCGTCTTGTAACCCTGTAAGATGAGAGTGATATCTGCCTTTTCTGCTGTTTTAATCAGAAGCCACTCCTCTCAGGGCGTCGCCCTGCACTGAAAGATGTTTCCAAAGGAGAGAAGCAAATTTCAGGATCACATCTCTTCCTTATGATAATTCAAGGCCATAAACTGTCTCTGTTGCTGATTTTAGAAACACCTGAAAGTGTGTCACAGACCCCTCAGTCCAGGACAAAGTTCATCCTCTATAAATAGACTACATTTAAAGGAAAGTTGACTTTGATACCCATCATTAAAACATGTCTTAAAATCAGAGTCTTGAGTTTAACTTAAAAAAGTGTAAAATAATTTATGTGTAATTTGTTCTTTGTGCCTTTTGTCTAAAAGCCTTCAATATGAAAATTTAGTATTAGATTGCATGGTTTAGGGTTACAAAATTACCCAATCTTACACATACTGAGCCACGATTGTGGGTGTAGTAGCTCACTGATCTTGTGGCATTGTGTGAGATTTGAAATTTGACCCAAACATTCTGTTTTCATCTCATAAAACTAGAGTTATACCAACTCCTTAGCTAAGGAGGACATTTCCAGAATCTGATACACATTTCTAAGAAGTTGTGCAAAATAATATTTAACAGTAGGACTGAATTATGTCATGCATGTCCTTATGCTTCTGTCAACTTCTTCAAACAGTTTAAAGAGTTTGAATTTGCCAATCAAACTCAAAAACATCATAAATGTGGATTTATTAGTTGCTGTGCCCTTTTTTTTGGCTTCTTACCTCACGCATACATTTGCCCTTCGCTTTATGAGTTTTAGAACTGAGTTAATAATACACAGGAGGGGGAAATATTACCTTCCTTGTCAGTTTTATGTTTTTATAACAGCTGCACCTGTTGTCAATCTGCTATGAGGAAATGTATGCAAATGCATTATTAATACAAATGAAACATGAATAGATCACAACAAGCTTTAACTTTTTGTTGAGGAGTTTGAAGATGTTACCAGTGAAAATGAAATAAACCCACCAAAAGGAGTGATGTGGGAATAACCTTAGAGCCCAATAAAAGTGGGTGGGTCAAAGGTTGGGTCGACCTTTGATTTGAGGATGTGATATAACACAATCACAGCCTGAACTTTTAAACAGCTCAAAGCTAAGTAAAAGATCCACACAGGCTTGAATCAAAGCGACACACCTGAAAACACAAGTTATGTGTTCTAAAACTTTTAATGGGAACTGAACTTTGACCCTGTTGCTGCTCATTAAATGAAAACATCCCTGGTTTGACCTTGACATATGCCTCACTTGTGCAATTTTATTCTTATTTAATTTTTTGCCCATTCCATTTTTTTCTCTTCACCAACACCCGTTTCATTCTCATCATTATCACAAGGATAGCCTGAATGGCTTATGGGTTAACAGGCAGGCTGCTCCCTAACCCTAACCTAACTCTAGCCCTAGCCCTAAACAAACACATTGACTATGTGTTAATAGAACAAAGAAGAAAAAGTATGATGGTACAGGGCAACAAAAACCTCTAACAAAACTTCAGACGTGTTCAGAACGAGGTGGAAGACATTCAGTCCAAGTGGGCAATGTTTCAATTAAATTCAATTCAAGTTTATTTATATAGCGCCAAATCACAACAAGGGATTGAGGAGCTCCTCAAAGTATTCCTTCCACCGTCCGACTATAGCCTCAGTTGACGTCAGCAGCTCCCCATCCCCTCTGTAAACAGTGTGAGCGAGTTGCTGCCTTCCTCTCCTGAGGCGCCGGACAGTTTGCCAGAACCTCTTTGGAGCCGATCGATAGTCTTTCTCCATGGCCTCACCAAGCTCCTCCCACGCCCGAGATTGGTTGACACGTCTCTACAACATTGCGTGGTCATCGGGGGCAGTTCCTAGGGAGTGGCAGACCGGGGTGGTGGTCCCCATCTTTAAGAAGGGTGACCTGAGGGTGTGTTCCAACTATAGGGGGATCACACTCCTCAGCCTCCCTGGAAAGGTCTACTCCAAGGTACTGGAGAGGAGGGTCCGATCGATAGTTGAATCTCAGATAGAGGAGGAGCAATGTGGTTTTCGTCCTGGCCGTGGAACTGTGGACCAGCTCTATACCCTTGCAAGGGTGATGGAGGGGGCATGGGAGTTTGCCCAACCAATCCACATGTGCTTTGTGGATTTGGAGAAGGCTTATGACCGTGTCCCCAGGGGCACCCTGTGGGGGACGCTCCAGGAGTATGGGGTGGGTGGCTTTCTGTTAAGGGCCATTCAGTCCCTTTACCAGAGGAGCGTGAGTTTGGTCCGCATAGCCGGTAGTAAGTCGGACCTGTTCCCAGTGAGGGTTGGACTCCGCCAGGGCAGCCCTTTGTCACCGGTTCTGTTCATCACTTTTATGGACAGAATTTCTAGACGCAGCCGTGGTGTGGAGTGTGTCGAGTTTGGTGGCAGGAGAATCTCGTCTCTGCTTTTTGCGGATGATGTGGTCCTCCTAGCTTCATCCAGCTCTGACCTTCAGCTCTTGCTGGGTAGGTTCGCGGCCGAATGTGAAGCGGCTGGGATGAGGATCAGCACCTCCAAATCTGAGACCATGGTTCTCGACCGGAAAAGGGTGGCTTGCCACCTCCGGGTCGGGGGAGAGGTTCTACCTCAAGTGGAGGAGTTTAAGTGTCTCGGGGTCTTGTTCACGAGTGAGGGTAGGAGGGATCGGGAGATCGACAGGCGGATTGGTTCGGCGTCTGCAGTGATGCGGACGCTGAGCCGATCTGTCGTGGGGAAGAGGGAGCTGAGCCAGAAAGCCAGGCTCTCGATTTACCGGTCGATCTACGTCCCAATCCTCACCTATGGTCATGAGCTTTGGGTAATGACCGAAAGAACGAGATCGCGGATACAAGCGGCCGAAATGAGTTTCCTCCGTAGGGTGGCCGGGCTCAGCCTTAGAGATAGGGTGAGGAGCTCGGACATTCGGGAGGGACTCGGAGTAGAACCACTGCTCCTCCGGATCGAAAGGAGCTAGTAGAGGTGGTTTGGGCATCTGGTCAGGATGCCTCCTGGACGCCTCCCCGGGGAGGTGTTTCGGGCATGTCCTGCCGGCAGAAGGCCCCCGGGTCGACCCAGGACACGTTGGAGAGGTTACATCTCCAATCTGGTCCGGGAACGCCTTGGGGTCCTGCCGGAGGAGCTGGTGGACAAGGCCGGGGAGAGGACGGCCTGGAGCTCCCTAGTTGGGATGCTGCCCCCGCGACCCGGACCCGGATAAGCGGAGGAAGACGACGACGACGACGACAAATCACAACAAGAGTCGTCTCAAGGCACTTCACGCAGTAAACATTCCAATACAGTTCTGTTCATTAAGCCAATCAGTAAAAAGTTTCCTGTATAAGGAACCCATCAAATTTCATCGAGTCACTGACTAGTGACTTTACAGCAATCCTCATACAATGCAAGCATGTAGTGACAGTGGAGAGGAAAACCCTTTCGTGCTCCCATTGTGAAGGGTCATCAGTGCCTGTTGTGGTGGCAATCCCTGAACTTGCTGGTAGTACACACCAGCAGTTGGGGATGCTGTCAAACTGAAGAAAGATTCCTATCGGGTCCTTTTGGAAGGTGGAACTCCAGAGGCAGCTGATGGGCACCGGCAGACCAGGTGGAATGCAGTTTGGGTGGTCGCGGAGGCAAAAGTTCAGTGAGACAATGGAGTAAGAATTCTGTACAGCATTGAGGAATTTCTGATTCACCATGTGGCATCTCAGGATGGGAATGCGGTGCGCTATCTACACTGTTTATAGTGACGACGGTGTGTGGCTGACCTCAACTTAGCATGTAGTGGATTGGTGGCCAGAGTACTTTGAAGACCTCATCAATCCCTCCTGCACTTCTTCTAGTGAGGAAGCAGAGTCTAAGGGATTTGGGTTGGGCTCTCCAATCTCTGGTGCTGAGGCCACCAATGTGGTCCAAAAGCTCCTTAATGGCAAGGCCCCAGGGGTGGATGATATCCGTTTAGAGTTTTGGATGTTATGTGCTCTGCAATATTGCATGGACATATAGGGAAGCTCCAGTGGATTGGCAGACCAGGGTGGTGATTCCCCCATTTAAAAAGGAGAACTGCAGGATGCGTTGCAACTACGGGGGATCACACTCCTGAGCCTCCCTGGTAAAGTCATTTCAGGGGTTCTGGAGAGGAGGATCCATTTTCTTATCTGGGGTCAAGAACTGGTATGTAAAATGTGGACACTTCAAATGTGTCCTGGAATGTCTTTGCGTAGCTTCTACACAAAGATGATGTGGATCATTTTGACCCACACAAAAAAAAACATTTCCCTTTGATGTTCTTTGAATAGCAAAAATAGTTATTTTTGAACTTCCCTGAGCACAATGTGTACAGATCTATTTCTGAGCACAAGAAAAGACAAAAAACCTAAAACAAAACTAAAGTAAACCCCAAAATGATCTTGGAATACAACTCCACCAAAAGAGTTGAGACCATCTTGACAAATTCACAACAACATACAGCTCCCAGTGCAAGACAGCATGTTAGCCCTTAGTGATTTTCTACAACATTGTGAATGTGTCTGCTTAGAATGCCTTTGTCCTGTGGATTGAAATCAACCTACAAAAGGTTGAACAGATGTTGTCTTTTAGTGGAAGAACTTGGCAAAAGTCTTGCTGTTCCCAAGATCCAGAGGCGAGTCAGACCAGCTCGATCCCTGGCTGTTGCAGATGTCATTGAAAAGGTCAAGTTTGTGCTCTCCAAGCTACCTGCAATGAATCAAGTGGATACAGGTCTAAAGACAGAGGTGTGACCAAGGCACTGCTTTGCAAGTCACAAGTCTTTCCAGTCATGTCCAAGTCAAAGACAACCAAGTCCAAGTTGAGATCAAAATCAATGATGTGGAAGTCCAAGTCAAGTCCAAGTTTTTAACTTTGAATTTTCAAGTCATAATCAAGTAATTTGTCAGACTTCAATTTAACGATATTAAACTCCAGAAATAAAGTTTCTTAAAACTTCATTTATTTGCTCAAACAAGCAGAAAGTGCAACTGAAACTGATTA